GCACCTTCTCCACCGTATCGTTTCACTGTCGGGAATTTCAACGACATGAATCTATCGAAGTTCTTAAATTTTATTTTTTCATCATCATCATCAATTTCCATCAGGTGCATTCAAGCTACAGTTGGGTTAGTACTCATCATCAGAATTGCTTGCTGTTCAGCGAAACTCTAAATTCGCCTTACACTTATCGTTAGACTGTTCGGTTGATGAGCATCGAAAAAAAGTGTCCGTCGGCAACGCTAACAGACTTAATACGAGAGGTAGTATTCAATTCAAATGTTAATGTTTCGAAGTACAGTAACAGTGATATTGGAACTAAGTGTGGTGTGATGCTTTCATAAGGTGCGTACGTATCGTCGTCAATGGCTAGATGACGAACCTGACTCCTCAGCATCAATTCAGCATATCGTCGTTTCTCGTCCGCCCTTATCTCCACTCTGTGCATATCCTCGAATCTCTGTGCAAACCACGTTCTTTCTTCCCAATCCTGCTCAATTTCTTACAAATTTGTATCTTTGAAAAAGATAATTCCACACAGCAAATGAGCCAGTCTCATTAGGGAATCACCTTTATATGCATGAATTCAGTGGCAATGTTTCCGCAGTAAATGGCGTTGAGTTTATCGATAAGATCAGCAACGCGTATCGATATACCAACATCTCGCAGCACACTCTCTGGATTTAACCCATACAATTCTGGCTTCAGTTCATGCACTCTATAACTTTTTACGTAGCATCATATTTAAGTATTGATAGAAATCACTATTATTATCACATCACATATTAATTACATATGAAATGTGCATAGCAATCATTACACAGGTGGTCGCTTCAGATGAAGAGGATCTAGATCGGCAACGCGATAGCCATATCGACGAAATGCGTTGATCAGGTGTAATCGACGACTATCATCGAGCGTGTCCAGTGGTGGGAATTCTGAAACTAATTCCGAGCCATTCGAACGCACTTCCGTCCTGACAACAACCCAATCAGCCTTGTTCCCCCCCATCTCACATTGCCGTCAGCTCGCTCCAAGCTTATATTCGACACATCCCCGTACTCCTCATCTTCTATGAGATTCTCGCACCATCTCACCAATTAACGCAAATCAATGATCTCAATAACACTTCAACGATGCGAGCGATCTGATTAAATACTTGGCAGAAACACATGAAATTTTTTCAGTGATTGAAGAAGTTGAGCAATTACAATTGGTAAAAGCTGACATACGGGGTGGTTCTACAGCTGTGCTTTCATGAGGTTTGTAACCAAA